CTAAGGAAGGATTTGAGAGTAAGAACCAGCCTGCTTCAAAACAAACCTCGAAAAAGCAAAACAACTTTCGGAGAGTGTCACTTACCAGATCCGTTCAACCTCCAGCCCCACATGGGAGGGATAAACGCAGAGAAATTACTGGAAAATCATGGACGTACTGAGAAATTCCATACAGCTTAAAAGAGAGGAATCTGGCAACAGTTAGTCCCGGTCTTCGGGATATTTCTAGATAACAACAGAGATTCAGGCCAGATTACCGTCCAAGTTATCACGGATCAATGATATTACACCTACCACTGAATCCCCTGTCCGGGTTTTTCCTTCTTTTGGCCATTTCTTTACGCTCCGCCAGATCTGCTTGAGTTTTCAGTGCTTGTAAACGTTCGAAATCTTCGCCACGCTCTTCAGCAGCCTGAAAAAATATACCAAATTTTTCGAAGATTCAGTTAAAAAAAGCCGATTTTTTAGATAAGAGACGTAAATAAGACGGTACGGTCCACTGAGTCATATACGCCTTAATTCAACACTGCGACAGGACTTCGTCACTAATGACGGCCGCAAGGCTTAATAGAAAAGGAGGAAGACAACAGAAAGAGGCAGAAGGAAGGACGATCTGATAATGGGATTAGATGGAGTAAGAGTATGATGAAGGTATCAATGGAAGCGAAAAGTTGCTGTGCCGAAGATACAGCAACTGGCCCTTTTCCGAATGGTGTGGGGAGGAAGAAACGGTACTCTGGTTTCGAAAAATGTCTTTTGATGAACTTCCGTAAGTGAGGAGAGAATCTCCTTAGACTTCTGTTTCTTCCCCTATCCAGTTCCACCGGGACATTTCACGTATACCAGCGATCGGATGATATCCTCAAACTGAACTATACCGGGATACCTCTATTTGTTCGGAAAAACCGTTTGAGAGATCCAAAAAAAAAAACTACAAAAATGTTGCTCAACCATGAAGCACAACTATTCACCAGTCACTAGTGATATTCGAAACTTTCGATGGTATTGAGATACGGACGCAAAATCCTTCTGTACCTGACAGCTATTTTACAATTCAACCCACTCCGACCGCTCCACTCA